CGCAGGTTCAAGTCCAGTCTAAGGTCGAATATTTGCGTATTACTGAGTACACTAAAGTATGTATTTGCAAACAAATACACAGGGCTGAAAACAAACAAAGTAGAAGTATGCCGTCTACGAATAGTCTCAACAGTTTCGGCCGTCATTCTGTCAGATCAGTTCCGCATTCGGCTCGAGATTTCTGAAGAAGATTTTTTCGCTGAGTAAAAGCGTTTCGTTGAACACCTAGTAACTATTCGAAAGCTTATATATCTAAAAATTGAAAAAATGACTTTGTTTCTAAAAAAGCCCAAAATTTACGCAATCGACTGGTTACATAAAGTCGAAGGGAAGAAGAGCTCGGCTATACGAGATAAAAGAGCGATAAGCGCGAAACACACAAACGCGTGTAAAATACGATTTTATCTGAATGACATAGCGTTGTAAAAAAAGTCTTTTCGAGAAAAAACTACATTTTTGAATTTACCGAGGTATAGGCCATGGAAAATTAGCAAAATTGTGGTGTAAAACGACCCAAGAGAACTGAATGGCAAGCAAAAATTTGACCTCAGGCGGGTGTTGAGCTCGCGTTTCATCCATACCGGTTGGTTAGTGGCTCATAGCTATGACAGAGATTGAAGAATGAGTGATGAGTGAACGGTGGCAAGGGTGGTGAAGTGATAGCACATGTCCCCGGTATGGACGAAAGCAGGGTTCAACTCCCGTCAGAGGTCGAATTTTTGTTTTGCACTTAATGCTCTTTGACATCTTTGAAAAATCATAACACTTAGAAAAAGCAGTAAAAACATAAGCAATCTGGTGTACAGCTTTCGCTAAGCGAAAAACCCACCTCCAAAAATCACTGCCCGATAACGGGAATGATCTATTCTATATAAATGACAAAATTATGCTGCATTCATCGCGAGTAAAAAAAAAACGTCGAAAAATTAAGAGAAAAACGATATCGATATCATTAAAATCACTAACTGTTCAACTACTTAAACTACATAAGAACCGGCTTGGCCTCCTCCTTAAATCAATATGTTCTCAAAAGTTATAATTCCAAAGCAATTGCTCAAACAGATGTTACACTTTACTAGTAACTCTTCAGCCCATTTATGCCGTTCATCTGATTGAGGAGGCCAATGGGTTCAATTACTAGTCGATTTAAGTTAATAACAATAAATCTATTTCTTGGTCTTTTCCATTATGTTTTATGTCATTCGAAATCCCGCCATCTCGAGGAAACGCTCGTCTCAACTGCGTGTTTTTTTTCTGAGACTGCAGAAAATTGAAGAATTAAAGAACGAAGGTTCAATTCATCCACCCTAAAACCCAAATTCTTCCCCAGAAGATTACCGTCGTTTAAGGTTTGCAACATTCCTTGGCAGCAAAACGGTTTGCCAAAGTCGATGATGTGACAAAGCACTTACATTCATTCCAGTAAAGAAATTTATACAGCTATAACGAAATAAAATGCCTTACATATTTAGAATCTCTAGATCACGGGCTTCGAACGACATCAAACTTACAAGACTAAGAAACAAATTTCTCGTAGATAAATGAAAATAACGAAAAAGTGCAACTGAACTTAGTTGGCAGTCAAACAAATCTAAGAAAAAACACCGCAAGCCAATGCGTTTAACAACTAATTGGCTAAAGATTCTTATAGAAAAACTGTAAAATAAGGTGCAACTGATGGAACTTGTAAAAAATTACAAGCCAGTAATTGCGATTATCAACAATCTAGTAGATCTCATAGAGAACCCCTCAAAACAATGGGAATGCCAATGGATTGGCTCAAAAACTCGTAAATAACCCTGCAAGCCAGTGGTTAACCAACCAATTAAATGATAAAGCTCATAAAACCACTAGAAATCAGTAGTCCTGATTACCCACTAACCAGTAAATCTCACAAAACCCGTCAAAGTAATGGATATGCCAACGAACTGGCTAGACTCGTAGAAAAAACTCTAAAGCCAAGCGCTTACCAACCCTTTTCAACTAATAAACCTCATAAAAACTTTATAAGTCGGTAGTTTTGATTACCGATCAACAGAAAATCTCATAAAAAAAACACTGCAAGACAATGGGTTCAACAAACAAATAAGCTAACAAATCTCACAAAAAACCCTGCAAATCAGAGTATTTTGGAATGACTAATAAACCTCCAAATACACCAAGCCAGTAGTTTCGATTACTTACCAACTACAGAACCATTCAAAAAATAAAACACCGCAAGTCACTGGGTTCAACAAAAAATTAGCTTACAAATCTCACAAAAAAGATTGCAAACCAGGAGGTTTCAAAGACGATAGACTATTGAACCTAATGAAAAACACAAGAAATCAGTAGTGATTATCGACCAACCAATAAATCTCAGAAAACTCATCTCATCAAAACATGGATTTGCCAACCGATTAACTGAAAAAGCTTGAGAAAACCCTCTGAACTAGAGGATTTGGAAACGGATTGACTAGTGATCCTCATAAAAAACACTACAGGTCAGTAGCAACATAAAAGGTGAAATATGCGTGTGTGAAACACAAAATCTTTCTTTTTTCAATCGCGCCATACATAGATTTTTTTCAAATAACAAGCACATACAGCAGTTCCTCGAGATTTAACCTTCGATTGATTACTAAGACTCCTATGAGAGGTACTTGGCCAGTGAAAGGGGTCACTTCATCATTTGCTTCCCTCTAACAGAAAAGACCCCATTTTTTTCACTATACGGATATCAGTACTTCTGGAATTAGACTGGGTTATCGTTTCCATCTTGAACGTCGTAGAATACTAGTTGAGCACATCTCCTTGCTATATCGATGATGACTAGCTATGGCGTTCACAAGGCCCTCGTTGTTGACTACCGGAGAGTGCGGGGGATGGAGATTAGGTCCTCGCCGCGCCACGACGAGCATCGCAACCAGTCGGTCAGATTCTATTTCGTAAATTAGTGTGATAAAATTTACAGCTGCTACCTGTTTGATATTTACTATATAAAAGTGAATTTGGTAAAGCACTACAAAGATGTCGAAGAAATTGGTTGTTTACAATCCATTAAAAATCGACTCTCTTCCAACTTCGGCCTTACCATTGAAACAGAAATGTCTTAGTGATCGAGCAGATAACAGGGAATTGATGAAAATAAGTTTATTCCTCTAGTGTTTCGACGTTTTCGTCTTCTTCAGAGCCGATGATTCGAGTCGATTGTCCACAGCCGCCCTTCAGATTAGAGGGCACAAACGACCAGGGACGATCGCCTTGAGTCTTCGGCTCTCGGAAGAAGATGAAGACTTTGAAACGCCGTTAGTCAAGAAAAATTATTCTTATCGAATTCCTGCAAGTAGCTCAATGAACGAAGACTATCTGGCCGCATTTATCCTCTTAATGAAGTAACTCTGGTCTATTTAGTCTTGAAATGAGGAGGAGTGCAACGTTACACCTCATTATTTCGTTAAGAATTGAAAAAAAAACGTAAAGGAAGAAACTAACTTCGGTCCACTAAACAATGTCCACCTCGCCGGCAAATGAAGTGCTGATCATAGGTGATAGCACAGATAACACATCGGAAAAAAATGTTATATCCATGACACGATCAGACACCATAGTGAGAACCAACAGCCGAATCGCCGCATACAAACACATTGCTCTGCAATGGAGGTGAAGGAAAAGGAAAGAGGAAAAGGCTGAGAAGTAAGAGAAAATGGTGACATCACAAAATAACCTTCCCGTACTGGTTCCAACCTATCTTATAACGCTGTAGTTATTAGGTCGCTCCATATATTATGGCACTAGAGTAATAAACACCAAAGTTATTAACCAGAAGTGATTCAAATTGCATGATTTTTCCACCGTTCAATGGCGCATTCTCTTGCGAACACTTTGGTGCATAGCTGAAATGTACTCCATTAGAGATGAAGCTGTCGTGGGAACAAATTCGCTAGCCGCTCATGCACGGATGAAGCGTAGGGGAAACTGAGAGTGAAACGGCACGCAAGATTAATGAAGCCTAACGCGATGATACGATTAGGGGAAGAACGGTTAGGAAATGGTTCGCGAAGCGGTAAATGCTTCATTTTTCTGTACACCAGGGGATCACCCTCGTTTAGAGTACAGATAGCAGTGTTCTAGTCACTCATTTCGCTGTCAGCAATCGTCATCCATTTAGTGCGCTTGTGCGAGATTAGGTTTAGAAAGGTCCTTTGTCTTCTCACATCGTCAAAGTCAGTTGAAAGACAATGACGCAAGTGTGCTAAACCTCGTGGAATTCACTAGATACACGAGGAACAATACGGTCAGTGACGAGGATGCAAGAAATGTAGTTTCGAAGATAAGCTGATAACCGAGTTCTGCTTACAACAGAATCTATCACTGCAGATAATGCTTTTTTATCCGATAACTTTAGGCATTAAAGTGGCAAACTCCGATTTAATTAACCAGAAATGACAAGAAATGTATGAATTTGTTACCGCTCAGCCGCGCGTTTTCTTGACAGAATATTGGCATACAACTTGCCAGTACTTGCCCTGAAATGGAACCGCCTTGGGAACGACGCCTGCTATTTATGTTTGAGTGACGCGTAGGAGAAGCTGCTAATGAAAAGGCGCGAAAAAAATAGTGGAGTTTCTGTTGAAAGCCCCAGAGTGACTGATCTTCCAAACTGCTCTCTAGCTTTGAACATTGCGTATTAACCATTTCTAGCCATCCTTGTCGATCCATTGCTCATTCAGCCACTTCACTAGCATTTTCCCCTAGGCTCCATTAGTGCACGAGGAGCAAGCAAGTTTATTCGCACGTCAACTCCATTTGCAAGCAGATGATACGCTTTTCCTGATTTTTTTCTTTTTGAAAAAAATAAGTCGTATATCAAAATTTTCGCAAAATGCGCGATTGTATGACATCAAAATTATGCTATTTAATAATCTCTGGTTATAAATTTGGTGTTCATTACTGTAGTGTCAAAACTTCTAAACGACCTGATATATATTCACGGATGCTGGGTAATAATCAAGAATTTCGACCCCACAAGGGAGTTGAACCCGTACTCCACCCACACTAAGGGAGTGTGCTATCACTGCACCACCGAGGCCACCACTCTGCTGCCATCATTACACAGCTAGAGAAGCGGCAGATAAAAAGGATAAAAACTCTCAGCAGTAAATAATTGCTAAGGATGTTCCACGAAAATGACTTCACCTAACAACGTGATAGGTGATTGAAAGCATATATGGCCTTTCAAATGACTCGCGGAGGCCTAACGATGTATCACGTCAGTGGTACTATCCTACCAGACAAGTGTGGGACCAGGGCACCAACGTCGCAAGGCTGGAAAGCTTGGGAGCCTTCAGCACGGGACCGAACCATCGACCACATGTGTCGCAGAACATGCCTAATCACTGCGCTTCATGCGCTCTTCTCGGATATATAGTTGAATTATCTGGATTGGCAACGGGTGGTCACTAAGAATCAGTCAAAAATGTGTGAACGACTTGCCAATGTCTCCATAAGGCAAAGTTTTGCTACTGAAAGAATTTACAACAATGAAAGCAAAGCTGGTTCGTACCTGTCTGACTTAATACTTCCAGTGGCGTTCCTTTCACTCCAGATATTGACATCCAATTAGGAAAATACGCCGCCTAGCCTCTATAAGCGAGAATTTTGAGAAACAACAAAAACTGCGACAAGTAATCGAATCAAACGGCTAACGACCGCATAGTAGAGTAAGAGCACAAAACTAAAGATGTAATATTTGCGTCTCGGTAAGAAAATCGATGATAATCGAGCATTGAGTATAAGCGAAATTCCAACGAAATCAGAACAATAAACACAAAAAAGACGAATAAACAAAGTGATAACAAGGCAGTGGCCTCGGTGGTGTAGTGGTGGCACGCGTCCCTGGTATGGGTCAGACGCAGGTTCAAGTCCAGTCTAAGGTCGAATATTTGCGTATTACTGAGTATTTTAAAGTGTGTATTTGCAACAAATACACAGGGCTGAAAGCAAACAAGGTAGAAGTATGCCGTCTACGAATAGTCTCAACAGTTTCGGCCGTCATTCTGTCAGATCAGTTCCGCATTCGGCTCGGGATTTCTGAAGAAGAATTTTTCGCCGAGTGAAAGCGTTTCGTTGAACGTTTAGTAACTACTCGAAAGCTTATATCTCCGAAAATTCAAAAAATGACTTCGTTTCTAAATAAGCTCGAATTTTTCAGAAGTTTAGGGCCGTGGGAATATTTGGCAAAACGATCCACGAGAACAGAATGGCAAGCAAAAATTCGACCTCAGGTGGGTGTTGAGCTCGTGTTTCATCCATACCGGTTGGTTCATGGCTCATAGCTACAAGAGATATCGCAGAATGAGTGACGAGTGAACGGTGGCAAGGGTGGTGAAGTGGTAGCACATGTCCCCGGTATGGACGAAAGCAGGGTTCAACTCCCGTCAGAAGGTCGAATTTTTTTTCACTTAATGCTCCTTGGCATCTTTGAAAAATCATAACACTCAGAAAAAGCAGTAAAAACATAAGCAATCTGGTGTACAGCTTTCGCCAAGCGAAAAACCCACCTCCAAAAATCACTGCCCGATAACGGAAATGATCTATTCTATATAAATGACATCAAAATTATGCTGCATTCATCGCGAGTAAAAAACAAAAGTCGAAAAATTAAGAGAAAAACGATATCGATTTTAAACTACATAAGAACCGGCTTGGTCTCCTCCGTAAATCAATATGTTCTCAGAAGTTATAATTCAAAGCGATTGCCTAAACAAATGTTACACTTTACTAGTAACTCTTCAGCCCACTTATGCCGTTCATATGATTGAGGAGGTTAATCGGTTCAATTACCAGTCGACTTATGTTAGATTAAGAATAGAATTTGTCATATTTTTTTGTTATTTTTCTTTACTTACAATATATTTATTTCTTAGCCCTTTACGTCATTCAGAAGCCTGTTGCCTCAAGATTCTAAGTACGTGAACTATTTTATTTTTTGTCAAAAACCTTTCGAAATGAAATTTCTTGAAAAAACTCTACAATCTATTGGCTTCAATTACTAATCAACTAATGAGTCTCATAAAAATAATACAAGCCATTAGCTTCCATTACCGACTACCTGTTAAATCTCGTAGGGAACCCATCAAAGCAATAGGTTTGCAAAGGGATTGGCTGAAAGAAAACCCCGTAAAGAAGCCTGTAAACCAGTGGGTTCAAAAACCGGCTCTCTGATAAACCTCATAAAAACACTATAAGTCGATAGAATCATTTACTGACCATCTAGTAATCTCATGAAGAAAAATACCGCAAGCCAATGGTATTGGCAACAGATCAACTAACACAACCCACAAAAACCCTGCAAACTTGTGGGTTTGACACAAAAAAAAAACACCACAGGTTAGTGGCTTTGATTATCGACCGACTCGTAAATGTCGTTAGGAAAAAAACCCTGCAAAACAGAGGGCTTGAGAACCGGTTAAGTAATATACCTCATAAAAACACTACAATTCAGTAGTTCTCATTATCGACTAACTACTAAATCTCCGAAAACCCGTCAAAACATGGGTTTGCCAACCGATTACCTAAATAAACTCAGAGAAATCCCTGCAAGCCACGGAGTTTAACAACTGCTAAACTAATAACTCTTATAAACCCTGCAAGCCAGTGGGTTTGAAAACCGATTAAACTAACGCACTGCATAAAAAACACTACAAGTCAGTGGATCTGATTATCGACCAACTGGCAAATCCCACTAAAATACCTCCAAACCAGAGGGTTTATTAACCAACTAACAAATAAACCTCATAAAACCTCACAAGTCAGTAGTTTTGATCAAAAACCAACTACTAAATCTCAAATAACTCATCAAAACATGGATTTGCCAACTGATTAGTTCTGAAAAACGCGAGAAAATTCTGCAAACCATAGGGTTTGGAAACCCTCTGACTGACTAGTGATCCTCATAAACACACACCTCAGTAGCTTTCACTACTAATCGATTGTCGAGCCCCGTTTTCGACAAACCTGCAAACCAGAGGGTTTATTAACCTTTTAGCTGATAACTCGTCAATAAGTGAAGCTTATTTAAAAAAGAAAAACGTAGAAGCCCCCAGACTTGTATGGCTGATGGCTGGATTTCTATGAGCTGGTCTCTTCGACACAATGAAACCCATTTCAGACGTCCGGTGTTTCGACGAATCTGGACGGATGAAACATCTACTAATTCAAATCGAAGATATTATTAGAAGATTTATGAGTAAACGCTCGAAATCCCACCTAAGAAAAATACGAGAAAAATGCGAAAAAAGGACGAAAAATTACGGGCGCTTTTGATTCTGGGTATTTCTCGAGGAAGTTTTCGAATCGTCGAAGGAGATATATCAAGCCTGAAACGCTCAAGTTACTTTTTTATCGCGATAAAATAACTGAATTCCAATAATTGCTGAGAACTCGCTTCGCTTAATAACATTTGAGCTCTGACGGACAATCCCTAACTCCATTCAAAATGGGTTATATGGGGGGGGGGGGGCTGACGGATTTCATAAGCCTAGATAATAAATGAAAATTAATTTTAACCTATACAGAAATGGATCGATAAAATAAAATGTAGATGATCAGACGGTCCAAATTCCTGTGGAATTAACCAAACAGTTCCTATAAATGGCTAATAGTAAGAACTGCGACCTTGGCTCATCACGTGACAATATATCGGCTTGCCGAAAATGCGCTCCAATGACACTTAACGCTCCGCTTTCAACGATCCCGGTAATCAATAGATCAAAGTTTAGCCGCCACTAAAGTCCTGTACTGGAGAGGAGGTTTTTTTTTCGCTCATCTCACTGTTTGAATAGGTTAGATCCATATCTTGGCCCGGTCAACAGATCAAAGCTTAGCAATCGATAGTGTGTAGATCAAAGAACTGTATTACGGTGTGATGCTTTCGTTTAATTTACGTCAATAGGTTCAAAGCTACATCTGAAAATCCTTCGAATATTCGTCTTCGACAGCTCTCAAGAGGAGTAGCAATGAATGCCATTACAGTAGGTCCTTCGACATTACAGTAGATCCTTCGCGAAATTCCCGCTCGGGACCACTTGAACAGATGTTGGTGATGAAGCTTAGAACTGTACGTGATTTAGATTGCCATTCTATGCTCAGCGGATCGTCGTCTGATATTGGTAGATAGATGTCGGTGATGAAGCTTAAAATGGTACGTGAATTAGATTAAACGTTCTATACTAAGCGGATCGTCTCTGTATGAATCGTGCTGATGTAGTATGTGTGAATTTGTTCATGCAATACGGGTTTCATCTGAAATCTACATTATTCGTATTATTCAAAAGGTTACAAAATTTTTAGAAAAAAAAAGGAAAAAATTTGTAGATTCCTGGTAAAAATGTTTAGAAATTAAAGCACCGACCTTTTCCATTGGATTTCTCATATCCTGTTTTATTCCATTCTATTTCTAAAAAACTGGGAAAATAAACATTATTGTGTACACATAATTGAAAGTGCGGCTATTTTCTCCATTCGAGATAATCTTTAGAGCGATTCATCGATGTCAGACGCTGCATAGCACATCACCGTTCGTTTCCCCTCGATTTATTAATTGGTACGAATGAGTGAATCGTCGCCGAATGATCGCCGAAGTTCAAATCCCATGCCATCGGCTTCATCTCTATCTGTAAATGACCAAAAAAAGTAAGTATTACGATGCTTTTGTTCAGGCCAATCCTATTAACATCCCCCTACCCGATGGTTTTTTCAATTGAGGTCTTGTATGGAACGATGTGATCAGGTTCACGAAAAACTGCTTTGCCGGTGCTATGGGAGCCGTCGTGGCCAAAATGGTCATTGCTCCGGTCGAACGGGTTAAACTAATCCTCCAGGTTTCGTTTCTTACTAATGATTATTTTATATCTGAGATAAAAAGAGAATGAGATAAGGAGAGAGACTACAAAACCGAGGCGTAGGCGTCGCACTGGGTAACACTAAGCTATCGGAAAGGATCATAGCTGGTTGGAAGCCCATCTGGACAAGGTTTGCTCCGTGTCTCAGCAATCTGATGGTTATTATTTTGTTCCCCATACTTCAGGCCACCGAGGCCGAGTGGCTGTGGTGCTCGTTGCGGCGTCTGGATCCGAGCTCCACCCCCAATTCTCTCCGGCAGTCAACAACAACGCCCTACGGAGGGCCTCAGCCAGACCATCTTCGTGATTGCATGGAGGCTCGCTCAACCAGTATTCCACGACGTTCAAGAAAAAAATTACCGAAATGCCAAAAGTAGTGGGATGCGCGCAGTGAAAAAAAGGACAGCTGTGATGACGGATTAAATAAAGTGCTAGTATTTCGGCTTGCTCGTTCAGTGGTTCCAAATAAACAGTTATCCCATATTGTTGGATGATATGCCAGACTCTGGTCTCTGCGCAGGAGTTGAGCTCGCGTTTCATCCTTGCTGGTGGCGCGTGCTAGCCACTGCACTGCCGGCTCTGCTGGTCTGCCGCTTCATTCCACTGCTCGAAAAAGCAACTGGGGTATTTTATGGTTACAAGAAGATAAATGAAAAACCGACCTTATTCACTCTACAGACTTTTCATAGAAGTGTTAGTAAAAAGCTGAGATCTCTGGCTACAGCCAGACATCACCGATTTTTCTATGCAACTCTTTATAACGCTGTAAGATCCAAAATAAAACTAGCCTCAGACGCGCGTGTTTCTCGCCGGAGAGCACTCTTTCCTAGGTCTATCGAATTAGTAGTCATTCGATTGCGTAATCGTTGCTGATTCCAATGCTGTGCTTATATCCTGGTAAAAACTTTCCTATCGAATGATTAGTAGTAGTCCAAAGAAAGAGCTCTGTATGATGAGAAACATGCGCGTCTGTAACGCAAGAAATTTCTTTCTGAAATTGGCTGATGTTTCAGTGGTTCCGAGTTCTTCAGAGC